GCGCTGGGGACCGAAGCCCGGGCCAGGGTGGGGGCCAGGCCTGAGGAGGGCCGTGCAAGCGGGGCCGAGCGCGCAGAGGTCACCTGCGAGCTGCGCCCTGGAGCGCGCGAGTCTGGGCGCAGAGGAGGGACGCGGTCACCCGGTACCCGCTGTGGGACGAGCGCAGGAAAGTCCTGGGAAAACCTAGCGGGAGTCAGCAAGAGTAGCGGTTGTCATCATAGCCTTCCCCGGGGCCAGATCCTCGGAGTGACCGGGTCAGTTTGTCAAAGTACGTCTTCTCGCTACCTTTCCTCCTGGAGTGTTTCCCATTGTCTTCTCGGTGATCTTGTTTGCGAGAGAAAATCTTGGCGAGGTTGACAGATTTGGTTATGAGGATGTCCCACTGATGTGTTTAGACTCCTTTTTACAACAGCACTCGTTTTTATGATTCCTCAATAAACCTCATTTTCGTTTGTTTTTCTCGCGTATGGGGAGGAAGTGAAAACGGTAAAACTGAGTCACTGTAATTAGCCAAGGGAGTGACCCGGTGGCGGGAGACAGCTGTTATCCCAGAAAGTAAAGAGTACTTAACACATTTCTGTGAGGCCCTTTGAGTTATTGGTACTACAGGTAGTGTACCATGAAGATGAAAAGCCCACGAATTAAGTTCCCGCTATGTAGCACCGTAGATGTCATGACGATTTCAGTTGTGCCCGTGAACTTTCAACTAAAAGACTCAGAGGAATGGTAGCCCGGGACGTTAGGTACACACATGTAATAGCTAGCACCCAGAAGCTGAAACAGTGCTGGGCTACTAAAATAATACCTGGTTAACAAGAGCCGCATAGCAAGACCCAGTCTCAGAAGACAGAAAAAGAAAAAAAAAAAAGATTGAGGATTAAAAACTGGAGCAGAACCTTGTAACCAAACGGGAATTTCCCAGAATCTAAGGTAATGGACATTTTGAAATACGAAGTGGTGCCAATTTCTCCATTTGACCAGTCTGAAGTCTGTGTCTCATGACAAGTAAGTTATTAAGGATAAAACAAGGCAAGCGTGTTCTTAGAGACTAATTGGTGCCCATACAGTCAAGTGTCTACTGAATTCATGTTTTGTGCAAGGCATTGACTGGAGGGAAACTCCGACAATTAAATTAGAATCTGGAGCATGTTCTCGTGCCCTATGTAGGATAGTTGTGTGAACGAAGCACACAGAAATGATAGCTTATGGTGTGGTCTCGAGAATTTCAAGACAGTAGGTGCCGTGAGAAAGCCAGAGGGGAGGTGAGTGCGGTAAGGAAGGCTTTATGGGGGAACTGA